CCTGGCACACCCTCTCAGTGCCTGGCAGTGTTAATGCGTCTTGTTCTTGTGGTGTCTTCAAATGAGACCACTTGGTTTGTCAGCAGCCAGCAAGCTGGAAGTTCCATTGATAGATAATTAGGTGGCTGAAATTTTGCTCTGCTTCTGTGTAAGTGAATTGGAAGTCTGAATTTTTAAATTTAGACTTTTTGAAGTCAATATGTCAAATCACTTCTGTATACATATCCATTCGATGCCGAGTGTATCAAGGATTGATGGAAGCCTTTCCACAAGTAGTGGGCTGAGCGTTCCTTGGTTAGGAGGGTGGAAGTCCCTTGTGAGAAGTCCCAGATGAACTGGTGTTCAGTCTTGTAAACAGCACAAGCACATCTACTTAAATATTGGCCGGGCAACGTGTCACTGCCACCCAGCCAGGATGGAACGAGCCTCGGCGGGGAGCGGCCATCCTCAGTGTGAGGCTGAGAGCTGGAGCGTGTGCCTCCTCACACTGGTGTGTGGTCCTGCTGCGCTACTCTCTTCACACCGGGGCAGTGCCTCTTCCTCCGAGGCTCTCGGTTCTCGTCATCTCAGGCCAAGTCCCCTTTCCACACTCACTCGCACACGCTTCCTTTCGGATGCTCCTCTTCCGCATGGTCCACACGCGGCCCGTTTCCCGCAGCCCCTGGATCTCCTGCTGACCTCACTCTGCTGACAGTCACCCCAGCGCCTGCTTGAAACTCTTCCCCCATCTCCGTTTCATCACTGGGTGTGCCGGGCCCTCAAAACGGGTCGGTGCCTTTCTGCTTCCCAGTCCCACGGTGTCCACCGTTCTTCATAAAAACCGTGTCTAACTCTGTTCATTCTCATTCATCAAAACGGCCCCTTCCAATATGATGCTGAGTGAAACAAGCCAGTCTGAGAAAGACAAATAGCCTGCGCTCTCACTTACCTGTGGAATCTAGTGAACACAATGAACTGACCAACAAAATAAGACCGGAAGCAGGGAGGCATGGAACAGACCGACACCTCGATGTGGGGTTGGGGGATGAGAAGAGACAAACCAAAGAACTTACATACAGGCATAGCCCATGGCCACGGGCAATAAGGTGGTGAAGCCTGGGGGGTGGGTAAGGGCTGGGAGGAGGGGGGCAAGGGGAGGGAAAACGGGAGATAATCTGTAATACTATCAACAATAAAAATATATTAAAAAATAAATCCAGTTGATTCTGGAAGAAAAACCAACAAAACAAAAACAGCCACTTCCAGGCTAGAGGATTAACTGACCACTGACCGCGGGCCCGCTCTGTGCTGTGTACTGTGCCTGTCACCTGCGGTCTTGACTTAGCTGGCGCTTCAAGGTGACATCTCCTGCTTCTTGGTCTGATGAGTGATTTTCCTCAAAGCCTGGACGGTGAGTGTTGTGCTAAGAAATCCTAGATCTCATTTAAACCTTCTGTTTCAGTAGAACTGACAGCAACACTGTGGTGCGGGAAGGGCACCCCCTCATTGCTGCGGGGGGCGAGGGGGGTAGGAATCCAGGTTCTAGCCCCGCCTCTGCTGACACCTGGAGGGGACAGGCCCTGGTTCCCGCTGGTTGGGGTGGGGTTTAGGCTCCCATGTGACCTTCAGTGACTGCTGGGAGGTGGTGACCGTCCTGCCTGTCCCCAGGCCCCTTCAGACACCACCCGCTGGGAAGGGAGAGAGGCACCTTATTGTCACCACCAGGAGGGGGACGTCCAGGCTCCCCACTGGGCCTCCAGGACCCCACAGCGAGAGGGGCTGCCCAGCCATGTGACAGTCGGCTCCTCTCCTCACGCAACCAGTTGCCACCCTGGTGCAGGGCTCGGGGCCTAAGCTTTTTGGAATTTTCTAGATTGCTGTTTCTCCAGTGCCCGGTCTGAGACACAGGAGGCAGAATGAAGTCCAGGGCATTTACTGCCACGTGGTTCCGCTGTCTCCACTGCTCAGTCTCAGTCTCGTTGTCTGCAGTGTCCGGGCCCGGCTGTGCTCGGCAGGCGGAGGGGAGTGTGTGTGTCCACCTTCTGGAAGCGGAGTCCAGCACCAGGACGGCCATGATTGCCCACAACCCGGACAAGGAGGGTTTGTGGCCGTGAGTTCCCGGGTGGGACTTGGGGAGACACGTCTCGCAGGGCCTGGCTGGGCTGCGAGGGCAGGAGGCTCGGCGGGTCTCGGGTGGGTGACGGCCGATGGGGTCAGAGACAGTGACATCTGATGTCTCAAAGCATCTCCTCCCGTGTGTCCCACTGGTTCTCCAGTACCCCCCTCTGCCCCCCGATGTCCAGGAGGCGCCCCTTAGGCACAGCCCCCAGTTTGGAGAAGGAAGGGGGTGGGAGAGGAGGTTAAGTGGTTGTGTTTGGGGCCAAGGAGAGGGGAGGTGGCAGGGCCGGTGGGGAGCCTGCCCAGAGCAGGCACTGGGGACAAGGAGCTGAGTCACGATGAGCGAGGTCTCGGGGTGCGGAGGCCATGCTGGCGTGGCTCCGGCTCACGCTCTGCTGCTTGGGTGGAGAGAAGCACCTCTCCTGGTGCCCTTGTGCCCAGTCTGCCGGCAGCTCCGGCCCCCGACCGCTCACCTTCACAGCCACCTGGGCCTCGCCCTCTCCAGGGGGGTCTGCAGTGGCGTCAGCTCACTGCCCCCAGTTCCCTGACCTCACAGCACGCGTCCCCCCAGGATGTGAATTCCAGGGTCCCCAAGGCACCAAACCCGGTGGAGCGGAGCGCCTGGCCCGGGCAGGAGGCGCTGACGCCTGCGAGGATGACTGGGCACAGGCTGGGGGCCCGCTCTGCACGTGCACCCTGGGTGGCTGCCCCATCAGGCTGTGATGCTCCGTCCTGACAGTGAGGACAGCGCTGCTCCCACAGCCCGGGGGTAACTTGCCCATATAGGGGTGGCAGGGGCCGCTGGGGGGGCGCTTCCTCGTGCGCCTTCTTTATAGCCTCTCCAGCCATCTAAGTCAGTGGTTCTCAACCTTCCTAATGCCGAGACCCTTTCATACAGTTCCTCATGTTGTGGTGACCCCCAACCATAAAATTATTTTCGTTGCTACTTCATAACTGTAATTTTGCTACTGTTATGAATCATAATGTAAATATCTGATATGCAGGATGTGTTTTCATTGTTACAAGTTGAACATAATTAAAGTATAGTGATTAATCACAAAACAATATGGAATTATGTATGTGTTTTCCGATGGTCTTAGGCGACCGCTGTGAAAGGGTCGTTCGACCCCCGGGTTGAGAACCGCTGATCTAAGTCCAAGCCTCATTCTTCACTATGCCCACTCCCCAGGCGGAGTGGTCGCCAAGCCCCGCCAGTGCTTCTGACACCCAAGAGGTGTGTCTCCATCCGCCACCCCTACAGCTGAGAAGCAGCCTGGCCAGGGCCAGGGTGGGCGTGGGGAGGCCAGGGGGAGGCTGTGCTGGTCAGCTGGTCAGGCTGGGGGGCCGAGGAGGCAGGGGCAGCGAGGGTGTAGGGGAGGGTCCGTGCCCAAGGGATGGAGTGCGGGCTCGCTGTAGGATCGGAGGCTGATGAGGGGGAGGGCGGAGGTCCAGGACGCGCTCAGGTTTGCTACTGGACAGCAGTAGCATGTCGAGGAGGGGCATGTGGGACAGGTGGGATGTGAAATGTCTGTGGAGCATCCAGGCGGCGTGGGCCGGAAGCTTGACAGACAAGTCTGGCTGGAGCTGATGCTGGAGCTGGTGCTGGAGCTGGTGCTGGAGCCGGAGCCGGGGCTGGGGCTGGAGCTGGAGCTGGTGCTGGCCCTGGTGGAGCTGGGGGGGCTGGAGCTGGAGCAGTTGCAGAGGTGACCATGCCCTGGACGCCTTGCGCAGCGTCGCAGCAGGCCTGGCTGTAGCTGGAGGCGCTGGGATCTGCTGCTGGGAAGACTTGCAAGGGTCTGTGCTGAGGGAGGCTGCCGGCTGGAGCTGGAGCTGGAGCTGGGGCTGGGGCTGGGGCTGGAGCTGGTGCTGAAGCTGGAGCTGGAGCTGGGCTAGAGCTGGTGCTGGAGCTGGAGCTGGAGCTGGGGCTGGGGCTGGGGCTGGAGCTGGAGCCGGAGATGTTGGAGCTGTGGGCTGACGTGATTCCTCAGGAAGGTTGTGCAGAGCAGGGCGTCTACCTGTTTTTAAGCCCACACACACTGTCAGTTAAAATAACTGTTGAGTTTTACTTTCCGTGGTTTGTATCACAAACACAAAAATGAGATAGTAACCAACACTGAGTAGTTATATACAAATACTGTGCTTTAAAAAAAATACTTATTTTTATTGATTTCAGAGAGGCAGGTAGAGGGAGAGAGAGATAGAAACATCAATGGTGAGAGAGAGTCATTGATTGGCTGCCTACTGCATGCCCCATACTGGGGATCGAGCCCACAACCTGGGCATGTGCCCTGACTGTGACCAGGAATCGGACCATGGCCTCCTGGTTCATAGGTAAACGCTCAGCCACTGAGCCACGCCGGCCGGGCCATCCTATGCTACTGATTGTGCCTGTTTTGTTCTCTTGCCATCCCCTCACTGCCTGGCTCCTGTCTGCTACTGATGGGCTCTAAACAAATACTGGTGGAGGGAAGAGGGAGGGAAGAGGGAAGGGAGGAGGGAAGGAGTGAAGGAGGGAAGTAGGGAAGGAGGGAAGGGGGAAGGAAGGAGGGATGGGGGGATGGAAGAAAGGAAGGGGGATTGCTTTCTCCCTGTGGGCCTGAGCCTGTTGCCCACAAAGCCCCGAGCTTCGTCTTTTCTGTGTAAAGATGAATTTGGAAGCCACCCAACCCTATTCTGCACCCCCATGTCCTCAGCAAGACTCTCACCCCCGACTGGCCACACGAGTGTCCTTGGGGAGCAGACGCGGGTGGAGGAGCCCTTGTGCGCAGCAGAGGAGACAGGGCGGCGCTGCTCTCCTGAGTGCCCGTGGGCGGGGGCAGTGGGCACAGCAGCTCCATAAAGGCTCCCTGGCCAGAGCCCTGGGGCAGAGCGCCTCTACCCCTTCACCCCCTGAAGGGCCCAGGATGGCGCTGGCCCTGTGGATCTTCGGCCTGCTGGCCTCCGCCTGCCTGGTGTCAGCCAACATCTTTGGTGAGTTCCCCACCCGAGGCCATGGAGCAGCAGGAGGAGGCCAGAGCCCCTCAGCCATCCAGGCTCTGCCCCAGGGCCTTTGCACATCCTTGGTCTCATTAATCCCTTCAGTGTCCCCAGGTCACTTATTTGCTTTTTCCTTTCTAGATGAAGAGACAGAGGTTCTGAGAGGAGGTCTCAACTGTCTAAGGCAGTGATGGCAAACCTTTTGAGCTCAGCGCGTCAGCATTTTGAAAAACCCTAACTTAACTCTGGTGCCATGTCACATATAATTTTTTGATATTTGCAACCATAGTAAAACAAAGATTTATATTTTTGATATTTATTTTATATATTTAAATGCCATTTAACAAAGAAAAATCAACCAAAAAAATGAGTTCGCGTGTCAGAGGTGACATAGGTTCGCTATCACAGGTCCAAGGTCACTTAGCTCGTGATTGGTGCACAGGAGATGGGAAACGCCATCTTCCTAATTTAATGGAGATGTTGGAGCTGTGGGCTGCTGTGATTCCTCAAGAAGGATGTGCAGAGCAGGGCTTCTACCTGTTTTTAAGCCCACACACACTGTCAGTTAAAATAACTGTTGAGTTTTACTTTCCGTGGTTTGTATCACAAACACAAAAATGAGATAGTAACCAACACTGAGTAGTTATAGATACAAATACTGTGTTTTTTTAAAAAAATTACATATTTTTATTGATTTCAGAGAGGCAGGTAGAGGGAGAGAGAGATAGAAACATCAATGGTGAGAGAGAGTCATTGATTGGCTGCCTACTGCATGCCCCATACTGGGGATCGAGCCCACAACCTGGGCATGTGCCCTGACTGTGACCAGGAATCGGACCATGGCCTCCTGGTTCATAGGTAAACGCTCAGCCACTGAGCCACGCCGGCCGGGAAAAATATATTTTTATGATTTCAGAGAGGAAGGGAGAGGGAGACAGAGATAGAAACATCAATGGTGAAAGAGAATCATGGATCGGCTGCCTCCCGCACGCCCTACACAGTGGATCGAGCTCACAACCCGGGCAGGTGCCCTGACCAGGAATGGAACCGTGACCTCCTGATTCATAGGCTGATGCTCAGCCCCTGAGCCACGCCGGCCGGGCCACTGTTAGCAAGCTTTCGACATGGACAGTGTTTTATTTCTTAGCTGTCTCGAGGCCCAGGTCATCAGGCGTGGGGCAGTCAGCAGGTAGTGTGAAACCTACCCGTGGGGGGCATGCACCTGCGTTCTGGGCGCCGCTCCGCCACTTCCTGTGTGACTGGGTGCGTCGAGGCTTCCGTTTCCTCGCTGGAAAGGAAGAGGTGGCACTTGCCTCCTGATGCGATTTCCGAGTGAGCCCTTGCATGTTTCATGTGTCTCAGTGCAAACAAGACACGCGAGACTCATCCATTAATTCCTATTTCTACTCTATGCCCGGGGTGCTCTGTCTGCAGGGAGGGCTTGATAATTCGACGGCACCCCCTCGCTGGTGTTCCGCCAAGCCCGACCGCGGCTGGGGGGGGGGGGCAGGGTGCAGTCCACGGTTTGCCCTGAACCCTTCTCTCGGCAGCTGTGTGGCCCTGAGCAGGTCCCTTTCCCCTCCCGGTCTTAGTGTCACATGGACAGAATGGAGATTTCACCCCCTCCGCCCCTCCCAGGTTTTTGTTGAGAATTAAATGAGCTCCTGTCATACTTGGAAAAGTGTGATCAGTTGAAAAATTGTGGGTTGGGACCTCATGGTTGGTGATGATGCCAGAAATAAGACCCTGTGCCTACGGGATCCGTCCTGGTTCCGGAGTCCAGGCCACGCGCTGACGAGCCCCTCTCCGCAGAGTACCAGGTGGACGCCCAGCCGCTCCGTCCCTGCGAGCTGCAGAGGGCCAGGGCCTTCGGGGAGCGAGCCGACCACGTGCCCCAGTGCGCCGAGGACGGCAGCTTCCAGTAAGGGCTCCCTCCCTCCGCCACGTGGACGCGCAGGGTCTGAAGGGCCTTAAAAACCACCTCATCCTCCCCCTGGGGCTAGAGCATGGGTGACGAGGCTGCAGGGGTCAGCGAGCCAGGAAATGAGAGCTTGCCGTCCCATCTCCCCCCACCCCCGCTCCCTACTCACCCCCACTTCCTCTCTCCCTCATCACACGCATCACAGCTGGGGAGATGGGAGGCCGAGGGCAGGGAGCCCTCATGTGTCCACGCCGGTGTCTCCCCGCCTCAGGACCGTCCAGTGCCGGAGTGACGGCCGCTCCTGCTGGTGTGTGGGCGCCGACGGCAGGGAGGTGGTTGGCAGCAGGCAGCCCGGGCGGCCCGTGGCGTGTAAGTGTGAAAGGGGGTGACGGGGTGTCCCATGGGAAGGGGGGACCTGGCGAGGGCCACACACACCTGGGAAAGAGCTCTGGGCGTGGTACGTGACCAGGCCAGTGTCCCTCTGGGCTGCTGGTTCTCCTTGCGTGAAGCTGACAGTCCTGCACGCCAGGCCCATGTCCCACAGGGCTCCTGTGCAATCATGTGGGACCATCAAGGCACTTGGTGAGCAAGTGGGTGCGGAGTCCCTCCCCTCCGGGCCAGGGTCTGGGCCTGGGGCTGAGTCCCGCTGCGAGCAGACATTCCAGGCTGTGACCCAGAGAGCAGCTTGGGCAGCCCAAACGTGTCTCACTGAGTGTTTCTGAGGTTTGAGGCTCGGGGAACAACTTCCCTGTTAAAATAGCGACTATGATGAGAACTCAAATTAACAGTCCCTGTTTGGGGCATGACTTAGTTAAGCCTAAAACAAAGATCAGCTTAAGCTGGTCACATTTAGTTAGTTGGTTAGTTAGTCCTCACCCAAGGATATTTTTCCATTGATTTTTAGAGAGAGTAGAAGGAAGGGGGAGAGACAGAGAGAGACATCTATGTGAGAGAGACACATCGATGGGTTGCCTCCTGCACACACCCTGATCAGGGCTGGGGATCGAGCCTGCGACCCAGGTATGTGCCCTTGACCGGAATTGAACCCACAGCCCTTCATCTCGTGGGCTGATGCTTTACCCACTGAGCCAAAACAGCTAGGGTTTTTTTTTTTTCTTTAAATTTAATTAAACAGTTTTTTGAGGTCATCTTTAAACGGTGAGATTGAGTCTAGGACCAGCGATCCTGTTGGGGAGGAGAGCTGGGACTTGGGTGCTGGCCTTTCGGGGCCGGCCCGCTGGCTGGGAAGCAGGCTGGCTCCTGACACTCCCTGGATGACACTGGCCAGGCCCCACGCCCCACGCCCCACGCCCCATGGCGCTGCGGCTCCTCGTCTGTACCGGGAACATAGGATCAGCCTCACGGGTGTGTGAGGGTTAACACACGTGTACAACCCCTGGCGCACAGGGATGTTCGGTAGGGGCAGTCATCGTTCTGTCACTCCTCCTCCTCTCGCTGAGGAAGGCAGATGGACTTTCTGATAAGTCTATCGATGAGGAGGGGGAGGCACAGAGTGGGGAAGCGACTGCCCCCAGGCTGCACAGCAAGCCCGCGGGGCAATTTGGACGGAGACAAGCTCTGTTCACAGCCAGGCCTGTACCCCATCCACACCCACCTCTGCAGCACCAGGCGGTGGGGTGTCCGGGAGACCGACGGGCAGGGGGCAGCCTGCCCTTCCCAGCCTCGGCTGCAGGATGCTGGAAGGAATCCCGGGATAGAGGTGGACACGCTGGTCCTGAGCTTGCCCCCAACGCGCTGAGCACCCACGGCCTGTGCGACCTCTAGGGAGGCCGGGAAGTCCTGGGCTGAGACCTGACGCTGCCCCTCGCCCACAGGCCTGTCCTTCTGCCAGCTGCACCGGCAGCAGGTCTTGCTGAGCGGCTACCTCAACGGCACGGCCGCCTCCTACCTCCCTCAGTGCCAGGATTCGGGGGAGTACGCGCCGGTGCAGTGTGACGTGCGGCGGGAGCAGTGCTGGTGTGTGGACACGGAGGGCATGGAGGTGTACGGGACCCGCCAGCGGGGCAGGCCCACGAGATGTAAGTCCCCAAGCTCCCGGGGAGGGGGGTGTGTGCTCTCCCCACGGGACAAGGGCAGAGGGCCCGGCCCTCGGTGCAGAGATGAAAGCATTTAGGGAAGATCTTATGACTCCTTTTTAAAAAAAATGCCTAATGACCTTTATTTATTATTATTATCTTTTAAAATCTTTATTGTTGAAAGTATTACGTATGTCTCCTCTCCCTCCACCCCTATTGACCCTTTCTAGCCTGCCCTGCCCCCGCCCCAGGCCTTCGCCACCCTATTGTCTGTGTCCGTGGGCTCTGCATGTATGCATCCAAGGTTTTTGGTTGATCACTTCCCACCCAAACACCTCCGCCACCTTCCCTCTGAGGTTTGAGTCTGTTCCACGCTCATATTTTTTATTTTGTTAAAATATGTTTTTATTGATTTGTATAGAGAGAAGAAGGGAGAGGGTTAGAGAGACAGAAACAACGATGAGAGAGCAACATCATCGGTGCCTCCTGCACATCCCCCATTGGGGATCGAGCCGCAACCTGGGCACGTGCCCTGACTGGGGTTGGAACCAGCCACCTCTTGGTTTCTAGGTTGATGCTCAACCGTGGAGCCCGCCAGCCGGGCCCTGCTGATTCTAATGCAGTGGTTCTCAACCTGTGGGTCGCGACCTCTTTGGCAGTCGAACGACCCTTTCACAGGGGTTGCCTAAGACCATCCTGCATATCAGATATTTACATTATGATTCATAACAGTAGCAACATTACAGTTATGAAGTAGCAACGAAAATAATTTTATGGTTGGGTCACAACATGAGGAACTGTATTTAAAGGGCCAGAAGGTTGAGAACCACTGGTCTAAGGTTTCCACGTGGTGGTGGGGGATCAGTACTCGCCGGCTGATGCTCAGGAGCATCGCAGGATCTCAGTGCCTGGGTCCCTGTCTGGGTCTCAGCTGTCACGTGGGTGCGTGACTCTGGGCCTGTGGACTGCAGAAGCACATGCACCTGTTCATACACGAGACGTGAGCATTTCTCCTTGGAAACGTCTAGGTCCCAGGAGCTGTGAGATTAGGAACCGCCGCCTTCTGCACGGAGTGGGGGACAAGTCGCCCCCGCAGTGTTCTCCGGACGGCGGGTTTCTGCCCGTGCAGTGCAAGTTTGTCAACACCACGGACATGATGGTCTTCGACCTGGTCCACGGTTACAACAGGTGAGGGGAGCCGGCCCCGGGGCGCGCCCGTCGCTCACCTGGGGGCGGGGTGCTGCGAGGTGTCATGCACTCGGCCTGGTGGGAATCGGAGAGGCAGGCCGGGGTTCCTACGCTGCGGAAGGATATCTGAAGGGCGGCCGCATTGTGAACAAAGCACGCTGGCAGCTGCTATGCCAATTAAAATGCATGAACCCTCGGGCCCAGCCAGCCCGTGGGAGTAAAAACACCAGAAGGGGAGGACACAGGTACTAGGAGGTCTCCTGCATCGGCTTCCATCGTAGCAGAAACCTGGGCACAAAGTGACTGAGCCCCCCGCGGTCCCCACCGTAAGTGTTTATGCGGCGTTGAGCAGAACGCATCGGAACTGCGCCAGCTCAAGGGTTGAGGGTTCTGCAGCGTAGCATGCGCACGCTACAAGGTACAGGGTACGGATAGCAGGGTAGGACTTAGTTTTTATTCTTTTATTTTCTTTTATTTATTTTTTAATTGATTTCAGAGATGAAGGGAGAGAGAGAGAGATAGAAACATCAATGAAGAGAGAGAATCATTGACCGGCTGCCCCCTGCACGCCCCCTACTGGGGGTGGAGCCCGCAACCCGGTCGTGCGCCCTGACCTGGAACCGAACTGTGACGTCCTGGTTCACAGGTCCACGCTCCACCACTGAGTCGCTGGCCAGGCTGATTTAGTTTTTAGAAAACACACCAGCAAACGGGTCCTTTCACGTGCACATCTGCATGGATGGTTTTCCTGTGTCTGCGGAGCACCAGGCGGCACAGGGAGTGATGTGAATGGGCGCGAGCTGGGTGGGGACACAGGCACGGAGGGCCAGGCTCCTGTGGAGAAGGGATCAGCAGGAACGGAAGCCGGTGCCATGAAAAGCACAGGCGTGATCATGTCTATGCTTTTCTGTGAATTGTCTATGCCTGTGCTTACAAGTCAGTTTAAAGATGTAAATAGCAAACCTCAAAAGGGAGACGCAGGATGGATCTCCACCAGTCATCAGATCACCAGCCCATTCTTGTGAAGGCCCCAGGGCAGGGGGATGGAGGGGTGG